AATGAACACATTACAACAAATGTAATTTAATAAATCATATGCAATTAATGATGAAAATAATATGAGTTTAATAATATATGAGTTTAATTATAATATGAGTTTGAAACTGAAAGTTAAAAAATTAAATTAGTATTATTTATTATTTTGGTTTATATATCCGTGGATTCAATTTTATTTTATCAATTGTGTTTTTTTTTAAGATAATTGATGAAAGAGTTTATTTCCTAAATCTCTAATAAAATATGGTTTAGTAACTCAATGAATTTTTTTCTTAAACACCTGGGTATAAATTAGTTTCACGAATTTAATATATATATATATATATATATAATATATATATATATAATATATATATATATATATAAATTTTATCCACAACCATATGTGCTGTTTGAAATATTCAGGGCGAGGCATTTCATTGTTCTAATGAAAACTGTTACTTGTTATGTTGACAATTACAAAACAAAAATAGCTGTAAGTGGAATTCTGTCTTAAGGCAATTAGGGCATCGTGCCTTAAGGCAAATTGCTGGAACTTCCCGTACCAAAAAATTATTATTTTTTAAAAACGATAACATTTCTGAAAAAAAAATTACTTCGAAAAATTAGATTTTTGAGAAACTATAAATTTGACAAAAAATTACTTTTTTTGAAAAAAAAAATTTTTTTACTTGTAAAAAAAAAATTTTTTTTTTGAGAAAAAAATTTTTTTTTGAAAACAAAAAAATTTTGAAAAAAAATGTGTTTCTTCATTTTGACATATTTTGGAAAATCTGAACTTCTTTTCAAAGCAATCGTGCTTTGAACTGCATAGAGACGAAATGTCAAAGCTTGCAAGCCGTCTAACGCATAAGGATTGGTACGGAACCCATAGAAATGTAAAAAAAAATTATACTTATTGTTAAAATCTCTCTATAAATATCTGATAATTTGATGTGCATATGTCTAATGATCATTTTAACCGCCGAATGGCATTTTTTTTACTTTTTTCATTAGATCTCCGAAACCGCTAGACCTGCCTTCATGAAAATTTGATCAATTCTACATCTTGTCAATACAAGTAAAACTTTTTTGAATTATTCAAATCGAACGCTCCGTTCTCTTAAAAACGGAGGTACCGTTTTTGGCACTTTTTGCCCCGTATCTTCGGAACGGCTAGACCTGCCTTCGCCAAAAACTAATCAGCACGTCTCCTTGTCAATACGAATCGAATGTTTTTTGAATTACTCAAATCGGTTGATCCGTGTTCCCGATATCGTCGACGAAAATTTGTATCCGCACATACATACACACACGTACATACATACATACATACATACATACATACATACATACACACACACACATACACACACACACATACATCCATTTTTTCTAAGGTATGCCAAAATGTTCAAAAACCTCTGAAACGTAAAGATATATAAAAATTTTCATTTTCGATTTTTTTGCGATTACTATAACTTGCCCTACGGGAAGTTAATATTATTACTAAATTTATCAACGGATGCAATATATAAACAATATGGTATATTATTTATAACAAACGAATCCAATTACTTATATTAAATATTCTAACAAACATCGATATCATTCAAATCAATATCATCAAAGTTTATTGAAACAAAAAAATATTACCTTATATGAATTAGGAAAAAATAGTATAATAATTATTATATTTTGGAATTTATATTGGAAGATTTATTCCTACATTTTTAATCGTGTTATAAAATTTTTATTATTAATTGAATAGATTATTATTATTTATAAAATTTATTTATTTTAATTAGAGATAAAATTTTGATTTATTTATTAACTTAGCTTAATATATAATATAAGTCAGCTTAATACATTCTCACAAGTTTCGAATAAAAAATTTCATATTACGCACTTTTAATAACCATCTGTTATTTGTTTGTATTAATATTTATGTAAGAAAGTTCTGTCGGAGTCTCTGTTGGGCGGACGGGTGCTCCATATTTGGGGAAAATATGCCGAGGATGAAATCTTTTCGTAATTTATACGAATAACATATAAGGACATCGATCACGATCAATGTCTTAAAAATCAATTTAATACCTTGCTTTAAATTTTCTTAGAAATAGAATCACAATAACAAAATTTGACACCTATTTCAACACTTTGTAATAACAGATGATTGGTAAAATAAAAGCCTTTTTTATAATAAAGTATGATAAGATTAGGGGGATCTAAATTTATTATTTTCAAAATTAGCAGTAATGTAACCATACTCTACTATAAAATAAGTCTTAAATTTTACCAATTATCTATTCTCATAAAGTGTTAAAATAGGTGTCAAATTTTGTTATTTAGATATTTAAATATTTGTGGTTCTATTTCTATGAAAATTTATTAAATATTATTCTATGTGTAAAATATATCTATAAAATTATAGGAGCAAATCTCAAAGACATTATCTCAAATAATCCATGGCAATATTATTTTTAAGACATAAATTTATTTATTATTCACAATATATATAATATAATAAATAAATAATATAAATAATAATAACTCACCTTGCTCCCACTATAATCTGATCTCGTGCATGATCGAACAAAATTTTCGAATAATCGACGATTTCGTGCTGTGAAAATCTATGCGATTCTTTATGAATATCTGAAACAAAAATTAAAAATAATTAATTTATCAATTTTTTATAGAAAAATTTAAAACTATGATAAACCCTATGAAAAAAAAAACTTATGCCTCACATATTGATTAATAAAATTAACTATATTATACTGTCACGCTTGCATTTTTTTTATTTAATTATATTTATTTTATTAATTATTAATATTTTTCGCTATTTATTAATTTTTATTTATTATTTATTAATTATTATTATTACTATTTTTTATTATTATTATGTTCTATTATTTAATAAATTATTTAATAAATTAATAATAATTATAAATTAATATTAAATATAATTAATAATAGATATAAATCTGAACAATAGTCTTTGAAATTTACTAAATCTTCAAAATTTTCTAGTTTTTTTTAATGATATAAAATATAATACACACTATTATATAATAAAAAATTTGAGTGCATTGTAAATAATAAAAATCATATTATTAATACGCCTCTATTTTTTATTTAATGACTATAAATATCACAGTAATATCAT